AGGCATTAGAGGAAACGAGGAAGCAGACAGCTTAGCTAAAGAGGGTACAACCCTGCCAGTCCCTAGGGGCCAACTGGCTACCCTATCAGGGATCAAACGGCTTGCTAAAGAGCGCATACGACGCCAATATAGGAAGTGGTGGAAGCGAGAGGCAACACCCCGTTATACCCAACTAGGGCTCAAGGCTACCCTCGCTTGCCCTCCTGAACTAGCCCTGCCACGGGCTATACTACATCATCTCCTAGCGGCTCGATCAGGCCATGGAGACTTCGAACAATACCACCAACGCTTCAACCATACAGAAGCACTGCTTACCTGCTCCTGCGGGGAGGCAAAGGAGGTAGACCATCTAGTCTACTGCCAAAAGACCCTTGTGAGGAGGCTTCAGTGGCCTACCCTCCACCCTTCTAGTCCACATGAACCTATAGGTCCTATAGGATCTCTTGAGCGGTACTATAAGGGGTTAATCACTGATCCTGAAGGCTTCCAGGCCTTTCTCTCCGTGACAGACTTCTTCCAGAAGATCTGCCCGCGGTACTAGGGCCTAGGTTAAGACCTAGTCCCTAGTAACGACCCCCTCCTCGTAGAGGACCTGATATTCACAACGGAACTAGGGAACCAGCGGGAACTAGGGACGGATAGAACACATCGTAGCCTTCGGGCAAGACTTGGAGGACGTTAGGAAGAGGCGTGTACTATAGAGTATGTTGCTAGAGCCTGCGGCCCTCCACGCCATATACCCCTCGGGAGGTCGGCCGCAAGGGCGGCTGCGCCCTTTGCCGCCACGGCGTTAAATATAACAACAACAACAACAAATACATAAGCGTTCTAAGATACGAATCACTTCTTCTTCTGGAACACCATTTTGTTCTGGATGTAACCAAGCTGTCCAATCTCTACCTTCACAACATCCCCATCCTTGAGGCAGCCGTTCGTGTGCCATCCGACGCCCTCGGGTGTCCCAGTCATGATGATAGTGCCTTGGCGAAGCGTTCGTCCACGTGAAGCAAAAGAGATTAGCTGCCGACATGACCATATCATCTGCGACGTGTCGCTACTCTGCCGGACGTCACCATTCACATAAGTCGTTAACTTCAGAATCTGAGGGTCCGAGACGAGAGTCGGAGACACCACATAAGGTCCTATCGGCCCAAACTTGTCGAAGGACTTGGCATAGCCCATCTGGTAGCCAGAAACGTCGGGAGCGTGTAGACCCCGGGCAGAAACATCGTTGCTGACAGTGTATCCTAGGACGTAGTCTAAGGCTTCTTCTTCGCTTACGTCATATGCGTCTTTTCCAATGACAACACTGAGTTCTCCTTCGTAGTCGAGGAGCCCTTGTGCATCCGGGTGAATGTGAATATCATCAAATGGACCCGCAAGCCGGTCAGGAGGGGTTGCGAAGATGACGGGCTTCTTAGGCGGGGGAAACTGCAGCACACGTAAGCAGGAGAGTTGCTGAAAACTATGCATTCACTGCAGTTAAGTACTCACCTTTGTCTCTTTGGCATGAGATTTGTAGTTAACACCAGCGCAAATTATGATGGGCGTTTCCGGCAGTGGTGATAGCAGCTACAGAGTCATGCTTAGCTTCTCCCAAACGCATTAATCAATCGCAAATCAGTACCTTAGCAACCCTCGCATTCTGATCAGACTTATGAAACCCGGACTTGATATTACCAGTCAAGAGCGGCACGACGCTACCTTCCAGGTATTCTACTGGCGTTTCATCTTTGACGTCTCCGTACTTCTCCTGCCCATCTTCGTCAAGAAATCGAATGAGTCGATGAAACGACATTGTCAGTGGATACCAGCAGTGTTGCGATAAAATCCTGACTGTATTTGGGAAAGAGTTGGGTCCGTAATTCTGATCTCGCTTGCATTCTCGATGAGGCTTGATAGAAATATGAACTTGTCCTCGGAAGCCATGACATAAGCTATCTCTCTTGAGGTTTAGAACTGATGGGACAGCCGGCCGAGGGTTCCGTGATGAAACTTGCTACACCGAAAGATGCCGAAGGAATCTCGGGCAACCCCAAACCTTGCAGCTGTTGCATTTATAATGGTATATGCGGGGAAATAGTTCTCGACAAGATCTGGAAAATCACAGTTGTTTCTGTGTTCTGAATCGCATATTGCTTTGGCTGCTTCAGTTGCGCTCCAAAACTTCCAACCTCATTTTACCAGTAATACCACCTGCAATGGACCCGAGAATCCTTCTTGATCGATTGTCTCATGTGCGCTACGGTCACCCCGATCTGCAAAAGGCTAAGGAGTTCTTCACCGACTTCGGTCTGACGCCTGTGCGCGAGACAGAAACCAAGATTTACTTCCGGGGTTTTGGTATTGATCAATTTTGTTACGTGGCAGAGAAGACCAGCGATGGGAAAAGAAAATTCAGGGGAGGGGCCTGGATTGTGCAGTCTATGGCAGAGCTAGAGAAAGCGGCCAAGCTTCCGGGATCCACGCCCATAGCTGATTACGATGCCCCAGGTGGGGGGAAGGTGGTGATTGTGAAGGATCTTGTGGGGGAGGAGATCACTCTCATTTACGGGCAACAGGACCGAGTCCCAGAGCCAAGGGAGGTACCAAAACCGGTGATGTGGAACACTTGGGAAGACAAGCGACGGCTCGGAGAGTTCCAGCGACCTGACCGGGACCAACCGTCGAAGGTCCACAAGCTGGGTCACTACGGGTTCGAAGTGAATGTCGATAGACTTCACGAAGTGTTCGACTGGTACGCCAAGACCTTCAATCTCAAGAAGACGGATTGCCTGTACCACCCCCAAAACAACAAGACTATCATGATTTTCATCCACCTGGACAAGGGCAAAGAATTTGTAGACCATCATGTTTGTCCCCTCCACCGCCCAAGGCTGCTTTACTTTGCTAATGATCTGGTTTCTTCCTAGAATATCTTCATCGCAGGATCTCCTGAGGTCACGGAGGGAATCAAAGCGCACCACAGCAGCTTCGAAGTTGATGATGTCGATAGTCAAGTGGTTGGACATCACTATCTCATTCGCAAGGGCCATATAAACGTCTTTGGCGTCGGACGACATGTTCTAGGCAGTCAGATCTTTGACTATTGGTAAGAGAGCGCAAGGACTACCAAAACGAACTGCCACTTTCTAATTCTTCTATAGGTTTGATCCCTCTGGGTTCGTAGTTGAGCATTATGTTGATGGAGACCTGGTCAATGAGGATTCCAAACACGCCAATGAACCGGCTGTTGCGGCAGTAGTTTCGAGCTGGGGCCCAGATATTCCGCGTGCATTTTTCACCAAGAAGTATGAGGATCTTCCAGGTCTGAAGGACGTCCCCGAAATGCCAATTGAGGCATGATCGTTTTACCACGAGGAGGGTCGGGTTTGATTGGAATAGCGCAGGGCCGAAAGCGCAAAACTCGCTGAATAGAAAACGATAGCAATCTGTGCCATTTCATAGTGAATTTGCATCCTGTCAAAAAGAAGATCGTACGTAGTCTTGGATTATGCAGGTGGGTGCGGCTTCACTGCGTACTGCGTTTCGGTGGTCTTCGGCGATAATTTGCCGAGCTTGAGATCCTGCGGGCCGCGCAAGATTTAACCCAGCGATGGCAAAACATACACCAGAACATGCACGTACCAATGCAATGGGATGAACGTATGGCCCCAAGTTCGAACTTTTCCTTTCTCCGTAATTTATCTCCTCAATCTGATTATTGCTGTGCCTTTAGTCAGCCCAAAGCCATCATCACCAACACCTCCGTCACCTCAATCAGAACTGACCCGGCTTTTTGGTCTTTTCGGACGGCAATGGTCAACATATTTCAGCCCCGAGGGACCATGCACGGTAAAACAGCACTAATTTCGGGCTCTTCGAGAGGTATCGGAGCTGGTATTGCTACTGAGCTATCGGCTCGGGGCGCAAACATCGTTCTCAACTATCCTTCGGCATCGCTGAAAGAAGAATGCGAGAACGTCGGATCGAAACTCAACACTGAATGGATCGCGGTTCTCGCGGATATTGCGTCGGACGATGGACCTGCCGAACTTGTCCGCCAAGCTGTTGAGAGATTCGAGCACATCGATATCCTTATCAGCAATGCGGGCTTGGTTCCTATTGCGTACCTCTGGGACTCCCAGTTGAGTGCATGGGATCAAGCAATGAACCTGAACGCCCGCGGGGCTTTTGCTCTGGTCCAAGCAGTTCTGCCACATCTTACGCCGTATCATCCTTCGGAACCTCCAAATATGTCAGGCACGATTGGTGGCTCTAGGATCATTATGGTGGGGTCGGTCGCATCTCGAGTGCCAAAGCCTACGCAGGGTATCTATGCAGCTACGAAAGGCGCTCTCGATGCTATTCTGCGGGTTTGGGCGCAGGAGCTGCCGCCCAAGTATGGCTGTACAGTCAACATGGTGGCGCCAGGTCCGGTACTTACGGAAAGCTTTCTGGACCATTTCACTCCTGACGAATGGGAGACAACAAAAGAAGCTCTTATTCGGCAGACACCGGTTGAGGGTGGTGCAGCATCTGTCGAAGATGTAGCATGGGCGGTGGCGTTTCTGGCTGAAGAACGCTCCAGGTATATAAATGGCGAGTACATGTTTGTGAATGGTGGTGTTTCCATGAAATAGAAAGGAGCTTGACCGTCACATGAATTGTCATGGACTGGCGCGAAGCTCTCAGATAGATGTTCATACATCTTGGATTTGGACAGCCAATTCGTAATATTCAAATCTGTGTGAAAGTGATGATTGGATGCCATAATTTCGATACCTACGACGCCATTCTTTCGATGTCATAATTACCGTTTGCAGATGTGATAGATTCTTGTGGTGTAAGCGGTTACGGCCAATATCAAACCTCGAAATCTTATTGTTTCTACTTTGTCTGGGATAATGCAGCTTTTAACCCGTATAAAACATCACACAATTCCATCTGCGTAAGATGACAGTTTCCTCGTCTCAATAAACAATCTTTCAGTCGAACTTTACCTTCTGCAGCCCGTGCATCTACCGACTTTGGAAAATCAGCTCCCAATTGGGGTCTGGTATGACCTGCCGTGGTTTAGCAACTCCAATCACTAGCCAGGTTATTTGAGATACTCACCAGCCCTTCGAATTCGATATTCTTTGGACGCTCTTTGATACCAGCAGGTAGACTGATATCATAACGCACGATGTACTCAATGATGAGCAGCTTCATTGCAACTTCAGCAACATACCGACCCGGACAGGCGTGCCTGCCATAGCCCCATGTCAAATCTTTCTTTCCCACTGTCACCATCTGGCTACTCTTCCGTGCCTCCTCACTTTCCATCCGAAGCTTGTAGTACCGGAAGCCATCAAAGGTTTCGGGGTCCTCAAAGAACTGGCTGTCCATGTTGATTGCCCCGGTCGGTAGAGCAATGCGCGCGCCTTTTGGGATTCGAAGACCGTTCGACAAAGTGATGTCCGACATAACCTTACGCTGGAAGCTTGCTGCGGGTAGGATTCCATGTTACTAAAACAAAACTCGTCACTAGCCTCCGTCGTGCAGGTAAGCACTCACCAAGATCTGGAGGATTCAATCTCTGGGTCTCTTTGATGAAACTGTCCAACTTCATCATATCTGCCAGAGATTGTCTGTCAAGGGTTCCACTCTTCTGCGCAAGCATTGAAGTAATCTCTTCACGAAGCTCAGGCAGATAGTGTGGATACGTCGCAAGGTCCATGAGACACTGAGTCACTGTCGAGGCCATGGACTGGATGGCAGCAACACAAAGGTTGATCTGCGCGACCGTGTGCGCTTCGACGTGGTCTCCACCCAGTTCACCGTCGGCAAGGTAATCCAGAAGCGATGGGGGACTGCTTAGATGGCCACCCTTCCCCGCCTTCCTCTTCCTAAGCGTTTCCGCCACCACAGCTTCACCTTCGGCAAAGCGCTGTGTCATTATTCCTCGTCCCTGAACAAATCGATAGACCCAAGGACGAAGCATCGCAGGCCATTTCTTCAAATTCTCTGTCCACACGACCGTGGAGTGAACATGTTCACTGGCAATATCCAACCAATGGTCATCTTCCGCTGCGTCAGAACTGTGAAAGATTCGAGCAGAAACGCGCGATACCTGACGCATCACATGCGACCAGGGCTTGACAGTGACGGGGCCTGATTCGAATAATGATTAGCATGGTTATGGTCGCTCCCCGATGTCAAAGAAAGAACACATCATTTCTTTCGCTATCAATTGAGCTGGACCGACTGCACTGTTGCTGATATCGGTGACTCTTTTGATTCACTTACAATTATACTCATCCAATGGCCAGTGGTGTCGAAGTAGGTTGACTAACACCGGAACATATTCATCTGGGAAAACTCAGTGCTGCCCCAACCTCATTCTCCTTAGCAGGTTGATTGGTTGCAACTCACTTAGACTTGGATTGAGCTTTTTGTTTAGGATGGCAATTTGCTTCTCATCAAGGTTCCCGACTTTGGTGTACCTTTTCATGCTGAACTGCGGCTATTCAGAACACAGCGACCTTCAATATCATTGTATCACTGACCTCTTCCTCGAGAAACGCTGCAAAACTCAAAGACTTTGTGCTTCCGAGCCCAGGGAGGAGATCGAGGGGGATCATGATGTTGGTGCCTAAGCCGTAGTTAGAATATAGTCATATTTTCATGTTGCTCGAACTAGCCTTCCGTCGTTGTGATCCCGAAGACTTGGTTTTGAAACTAATGTGGTTGAACTGTCAGCTTTGAATTGCTGTCGACACTGATGCAACCTAGCTTCACCTTGTTATAACTACTTATCAATAAGTTTCGAGTGTCTTTTATGAACATGTCGATTCTTTCCTGTTGATTCGGTAATTCTTCGCCCATCGCAATGGGAAGCTTTGGCATCTTGTTGCCCACCGCCACCGACCAAATCAGCAAGGCTGCTAAGGTCACGGCGCTAAGCAAAGTCCATCCTGCCACTGTGATGGCATTTTGCTGCAGCTTGGCTCGTACGATAGGGTAGTAAATCTCAAATGGAACCGCCATTGAAGCCATCGAAAGCTGCAGTGTCTTGATCCTGCGTCGAAGATTCAAGTTGGAAGGTGAGTGAGTGAGTCAGATGTTGGTAAAAGATCAGAATAACATGATTCAGAGTCTTCCGTCAGTTCCATGAAAGGGAATGTAGCATTCATGTCAGAAGGTAGTCAAACTTGCCCAAGGCTGTGACTGGTCGGCGTACACCGGTGTGTGTTAAGAAGCGGACTTTCGGCCGATGAGTGAAACCATCCCCCGGGCGAATCGGACTTCCTACTTTCGCAGCATGGCTATGCCAAAATATCGGATTGGACACAATAATGCGGTATATGGTGCCTTATCTGATCTAGGTACCGATAGCGGACACCGTATACTTCCCATCATTTTCCGAATCACACCTGGGTTCACCGAGCCAGGAGATCAAACTTCCGTACCTTATCAAGTTTTCAATGAATCCACAAACTTAGTCTAGAATTCTCATTCCAACTTGCTTCTTATTAAGACTTATCTAGAGAAGCATTCATTGAACGACTATTCGTGCTGGCCAACTACGGACTCTGAACACCCAACCCTCAACCAACCAACTTACTATCATCTTGGACGACATGACTTCAAGCGATTTCGACCTGGCAATTGTCGGAGGCGGTATCGGTGGTCTTTGCTTGGCTCTCTGCATTACTAGCCAAACAAGTATTCCAGTCACCATATACGAAAATGTCCCGAAGTTCGGTGAAATCGGTGCAGGTGTCGCATTTGGGCCAAATGTCGTGAGAGCGCTTCGGCAAATTTCAATGCCGTTGGCTTCTGCAGTTGAAGCCCGCGCAAACAAAAACATTTTCAAAGAGAAAAGAAACACTTGGTTTGACTTCCGAGTGGGCATGAACGGTCCTGATGCAGCAGCGAAAGCTCGTGGTGTTGTTGCCGGGACTTATCTCTGCTCAGTTGAGCATCCTGAGCCCGGCAGCTGGATGGTCAATCGTTCTCATCTGGTTGAAGAGTTGGAGAAACTTCTCCCTCCTGGAATTGCTAAATTTGGAAAGACTGTCATTGATGTTGAGGATAACGGGAAAGGGGGTGTTATTCTCAAATTTGCGGATGGATCGACAGCCCACCACAGTGCCGCCATTGGGTGTGATGGTATCAAGAGTCGAGTCCGAAGCGTCATTTTCGATAAGGACCACGCCCTTGCCAAACCAGTCTACACCGGCAAGTACTGCTACAGGGGAATGGTACCAATGGATAAGGCGGTGGAGCTTCTCGGCGAAGAGAAGGCGAAGAACTGTCAAGCCTACCTCGGGTACCACGGCCACATGCTTACATTTCCGGTGGCAGGAGGTAGGATGATGAACGTTGTCGCCTTCCAGTCATGCAAAGAATGGGAACACAACACCATGGTTATTCCAGCCACCAAGACACAGATGTTGGATAGCTTCGATGGCTGGGGCGAGGACGTGCTCAACATCGTCCGACTAATGGGGCAGTCTGACATTTGGGCTCTTTTCGACATGCCACCTACCAGTGCCCATCACAAAGGCCGACTGTGTCTCCTTGGAGACGCTGCACATGCGTCTACTCCTTTTCAGGGAGCAGGCGCCGGAATGGCAGTAGAGGATGCATACGTCTTGGGAAGGATTCTCCGATACATTGAGAAAGCAGACGATTTCCCCGCGGCTTTTGAGGCATTCAGTGCTGCGAGAGTAGATCGCACGCAAAGAGTAGTGTCTACGAGCAGAGAGGCTGGACATCTATGGCATTTTGAAGCGGCTGCGGATGATCTTGAAAAGATCAAAGAGAACCTGCAGAGTAGAATGAACTGGATTTGGAACAAAGATCTGGATGAAGATATTACAGAGGTGGTATCTAAATGGCAGAAATCTTAAGATTGTTACTCCTACTGCGAGTCGTTTGATCTCCCCCTCTGACCGATTGATGCCATGCGATAGCCCGCCCCTCTTCTAAAAAAAACTGCAAGAGAACAAAACATACGACAACAGGCATTCGCCGGTCGTCACCGACCCGACTACTACTCTGTCCCTCACTGGCTTATCTATGGGAGAGCGGACGGGATCCCGAGTTTTCCAGTGGGTATGGTCGTATGTGCTGTCATCGCATATTGGTTGAGGCCATCAAGGCATTGCGGTATCACCGAGATGGATTTCGTGATAGCATATCACGCAAGGTAACCGCTTGGTTTAGAAAGAATCCATAACAATGAACAAACAGATATACTAGTTGATTTGAATCTCATTTGATTGTATCTCGATCATTTATTGCCCTTTGCCACGGCAGGACTAGCCCGCATGCTTTGTTCAATGTCATACATGATGTCGTCCAAGTGTTCAATTCCCACCGAGACTCGGACCATCTCAGGTGCAACACCGAGATCAATCTTTTCATGAGGTAACATTGGCTTGTGTGTAGTAGACCATGGGTGCATCGCAGTTGTTTTGGCATCACCGTATCTGGAGAAATTAGCAGGGGAACGGAGTACGAGAGTCAACTTGCGGAGTATTCACCCTGGATTATTCGAGATCATTTTGAAATTGTCGACCAGCTGCTCTCCTGCGTCTGCCCCACCTTTAACGCCAAACATGAGCACGGCGCCCGCCCCTTTGGGCAAATACTTTTGGGCAAGCTCATAGTGCGGATGGCTGGGGAGGCCGGGGTAGGAAACCCAGAGAACGTTGTCGTGGTTCTCCAGCCACCTGGCCAGGGCAATTGTATTCTGTGCGTGTCTCTCGCAACGTAGGCTGAGCGTCTCAATTCCCAGAATGAACTGCTGGCTGTTAAATGGAGAGAGGCATGAACCTACGTCCCGCAGAATCTGGTCTCTGATGCGCATAATGAAAGCTTCTCTGCCAAACCTTTCGGAGAAGTTCAGTCCGTGAAAGCCAGGGCAGGGCTTGTTGAACTGTGGAAAACGTGTAGAGTTTTTCCAGTCGAAGTTGCCGGAGTCAACAATGATGCCACCCGTGGCGCTGCCGTGGCCTCCGATCCATTTGCTCATGCTGGCAACAACGATATCGGCCCCATGTTGGATGGGTTGGCAGAAGTAAGCACACCCGACCGTGTTCTCAACCACAAGGGGCACGCCGTTGTCGTGTGCTACTTTTGCAATGGCTTGGATGTCGGGCACGTTGAAGTTCGGATGCCCGACAGTTTCGATATAGACGGCCTTCGTGCGCCCATCAATGGCCGCTCGAAAGGCTTCTGCTGTTTCCTCCACCACTCTGGTTTCGACACCAAACTCTGGCAGCAAGAAGGAGAACTGGTTGTAAGCACCATGATAGTAATGCTTGGTCGCTACAATATTGTCCCCTTGCCCAGCTAAGGCAACCATAGTCATGAAGACTGCTGACTGGCCGGATGACACTGCTACAGCCGCAACGCCGCCCTCAAGCGCCGCCACCCGACGCTCAACAACGGCAGTGGTAGGATTGCCAGTGCGTGTGGCAATCTCGCCCTCTTCCTCTAGGTTGAAAAGCCTCGCAGCATGGGCTGAACTGCGAAAATTGAAGACGTAGGTTTGATATATTGGTACACCGCGAGCCAACGTCGTAGAGTCAGGGGTTTGACCCGCGTGCACCTGCAAAGTTTCAAAGCGCGATACATGCTTCGTGACCTGAGCAGTCTCTAAGTTCTTGCTTGGCGTGGTATTCGACATCATCGCTGGGTGTTTCGCGCTGGATTTGGTGGCAGGAACGTGGCTTTGTTTGCGGAGGCCTCTTCGAAATCGAGGCACGGTAGAGATGCGCCGAAAGGGGGGCAGTAGATGATGGCACAACAGTAAGGCCTTGGAGCTAAATTCCATACAGAGACGGATGTGGATCACAGTCGTCTGATACTTCTGGAAATTCGTATTAAAACCCAAAAGGTGTGGCGCCAAGCTTCCCATGGTGCTGCATGTTCGGCTTTTCGGGG